TCTCTCCCTCCGCCCTCCCCCTCCCTCTTTCTCTCTCCTTCCAGTTTGCTAAATTCTGTTAAGAGAGTGATATATTCAATTCTTTAAGCACGTTTAGATCATGAACTTGGTGCCCTTTCAAAATTTTTTGCTGCTGAGTGCGGTGGTGCATGCTTGTCATCCCAGCATTTGGGAGGCTGAGTCAGGAGGATTGCTGCAAGCCAAACTAGGCTACATAGTGAGTTCAAGACCAATTTGAACTGCATAGTAAGACCCTGTCTCAAAAAAAAAAAATTTTTTTTTTTTTTTGGTCAAGTAGGAATTGATGCTATAAGTTTTGAAGAAAATGAGTTTTTTATGGCAAATTTTAAAAAATAAGTTTTGTGGCTGTTAAGGAATTAATACTCGCTTCTAAAGAATTTACAATGTGTAATTCCTCCTTTTAGGAAGCAGGGAAAAAAAGCATTTTTAATCTCCAGAAAGTGCAGAAAATAGCTTTTATATAGGCAGTAGTTCAATTGGAAGAGTCTTAATTCTTACTGTTTGATTAGGTAAATATTTGTCATAAATAGAATAGTTTACTACTTTTTCCCTTCTGAATTTAAAATATACATGATATCTGTGATGGATAATTTCTTCAGATTCTAAAATAGGTAGTGATTAGAGCTTAATTGTTCCCAGACTGCATCAAAGGTAAACTGACAAACAATGAAAATGAGTAGTGATATGAAACTGGTATATAACTTGATATTGTTTCTGGTAATCAAGTCTATTTTTAAAAAGCCTGTTGTTTTTGAGAATTGAGATATTTGAAACTTGTTAATACTTCTTCCTAAAAATAGAAGAGGTGGAACTGTGTATTCAAAGAAAATTTTTTAAATAAAGAATTCAATGTCACCAGTTCTAAGCCTTTATGGTTACTGCTGCTCATATTTCTTGATCTCATTTTTATTAAAATATTTCGTACATAGATGAATGCTTAAAATTTATGGTTATATAAATTGGTTTTTAAGAAATGTGAGGCTTAGCTATATTTTACTTTGCTGACAATTCATTATCAAAATCAGCTATACCACTATTCTTTTATACTAATGCTTTAATGCCTTTGCAGATTGAGATCTGTGAAGAAAGTGTCTTTGAATCTGCACACCAACAGCTCCCCTACTCCCAGCTAGATTGAACCTGGCCTTTGTGGTGAGCTACATCCCTAGACCTTTTAACTTTTTCTTTTGAGACAGGGTCTCATTAAATCACTAAATTGCTCAGACTGGGCTCAAACTTTTGATTCTCCTGCCTTATATCCCAAGAGTTCTGGGATTACAGGTGTGGCTACCATAACTGCTTTGGTGTACTTTAAAATATTTTTAATTTTTTTTTAAGATGAGGTTTACGTTGTCCAGGCTGGCCTTTAACTTGTGATCTTACTGCCTCAGCCTCCTGAGGATGAGATTACAGATATGCGCTACTGCACTCAGCTAATTAATTTTTAATTCCCCCTTTTCTTTCTGTCTCTTCTCACATGTTAAGTGTAGCAGGCTAGCAGTTTTTTATGATTAGAAAAGCTAGTGTAGCAAAATTAGTAAAATGTCAGATATTTTTTTAAGGAAAACATTTATTGGTACATTTTAGATATACATAATGATAACACTATCATAGGGAATTTGCACCTGTACATGATATATCCTGCCTTCTTTTTATCCCGAGATTTTTTTTTTTTAAATTTTGCGAGGTATCAGGGATTGAACTCAGGACCTTGCGCTTGCAAGGCAAGCAGTGGAACCACCGAGCCAAATCCCTGGCCCTTTTCTCCAGACTTTTTTAAAACCTAAAAAAGTTTCTATACAAGTAAAATACATGGGGTTTTTGTTATCTAATTATATTTCATTAATAGATGCTTAATTTGTTGAGTAATGAATTTAAATAAGCTATTAGCCATAATTTATTCTTTAGTACAAATACCTGAGGGAATTTTATTTGTTTACTTTTTGGTGGGGACTCTTTTAAAACCTTATTGCTCAACTTACTGTTTTTCCTTTTAAATTTCTAAGCCATTTTGCGATATGGAATTATTTCCCTAAAATAATTTGTGGAAGACTTTTGTTTCTCAGCATAAATTATGCATTAATATAAAAACTGGATTATTATCTTCAGAGACATGAAACATAAACATGTACTTGAAACTTAGTGCTCTGTCCTGAAAGTTAAAGTTAATGGTTCTAAGTATGATCCTGGTAAGTGAGGTGTTAATAGTAACTTTAATTCTCAAATTTAGTGTTAAGACTTGCATTTGGTGATGAGTCTCCAGAGTGATTTGATTACATGATTTTCTTTTTTAAGGAAAAGCTTTCTGTTGATAAAATAATATCTGAGACTCTTGACTATGTGGAAGGAATGACTGAATAGAAGCTGCTCTAAACATACCTCGAGAACTCCAGTTGTACATGTTAAATGAAGAGTTATCTGGGAAAGGAGATCTACTTCCATTTCTTGGCATACATATTATCTGGTTTTTGAGGAAAAGTTAATTTTACAGCTGATTTTTGAAAGGCGAAAGCATAATATAAAATCTTAGTAGACTTTGACTGATTATGTGACATAACTTGTCAGATTTTCTGGTGTGTAGAAAGATGAATAATCCTGCCTGTCTTTTAAAGCCTGAAACAGAATATTTAAAGAATTTTATAGATTTTTGTCAAATACTATGAAAATGCAAATCTCTTTATAGTTAACCATAGACTGTTTATATAAACACAAATTGATTGCCAGATTCCAGGTAAAATAATTATTTGGATGGGTTATTATTGGGTTAATTATCTAGAAGCCAAGAATTAAGTGCATGTTCAGGTCAAAATAAATTTGTTCATTTTAGTTGGTACCATTTTTCTTTCAATATTCATAAATAACAGATTGTGCATTTTATTAATATGAATGAAACTTATGCTTGAGGATTTGAATAGGGTGGAAGTGTATTTTATAAATTCAAATTACAAAAATATGTAACGTTACTACTTTTTAAATAGAATATAAATGTTAGATAAATCTATGTTATATATTTTTCAATACATGTATCAAACTTTTGTTAGTTGAATATAGGTTACTTTGTGTGCTTTATGGAATCCAGTTAATTTTTAATAATAAAGCAGTTGTCATTTGATGTTTTTCTGTATACTTGAATACTAAATTAGATAGAAACTACTTTATAATGTAAAACTGTATAGTGGTTCCTCTTTAGAACAGGTTATCTTTCAAGGATTATGGAAACATGTCCATTTTCAAAATAAGTGCAACAGAATGTAATTGCTTAAAACTGTTATTTTAACGAGTCATCTTTACTTAGCTAGTTTGCTGGTCCTTTATGCTTTACTTAAGTCCTGATTAAAGACTGTTTTCAGAGAAATTTGAAATTGAGGCAGAGGTACTTGCTTAGCGTGACCATGAGTTTAATGCTGCTGAATTTAAAGTTGTATGATTAATAAGAACATACTGTAAAGTACTTTTGTATACATTTTTATTCAAGAGATTAATGAAATGAGTGACATTTGTATTCATAGAAAAAAAGTAGGAAACCAACAGAAAGGGATATTCCTGCATGTTATTCTTGGCAGGAAAAAAAAATAAATATACTCTGTTGATACTCTTAAATTTTCTTTTCTGCAGGGAATCTGCTTGCCCCAGTGCCTTAGTCTACTTTTAGACAGCTGTACTACCATAAAAGATACCTTATCGCAACAAGCTCTTTCTGCAGCTCCAAACAATTAGATTAGTAGATGGCTAGATAAGTACTGCAAGAGATTCCTTTGTACCCTTTATTATATCCTTAAACAATTATTTCTGCCTTGTATAGCAAGTCTGACTTTTCTCCATTCGTGTAAGCTGCTGTGGATAAGTGATTCTGTTACATTGCTCTACCTATTCACACTAAGGTAACACATAACAAAGTTAAATGAGCTGAGTTGAAAGGTCAGATGAGGGGCCAGGGATTTAGCTCAGTGGTGCAGATGCCTGCTTCGCAAGCACAAGGTCCCAAGTTTGATCCCCAGAACCCAAAAAGAAAGAATCAAATGACACAGCAAAGCGTTTTATGTATTTGAATAGGTGAGTAGGAACGCCTCAAAGTTACAGGAGCTTGTTTCCTTCCTTCCCTCTCTGTTACTGTCTTCCTCCTTCAGGTACGTAACCTAGGACTTACTGTATGCTAAGCAATTGCTCTGTGACTGAGCTATGTCCCCAATCTCAAATAGTTTTAAAAATTGAATATCTGACTTTTAAAAATATTTGCCTCATTAATGCAAAGAATATAAGTGGGGATCCTATGTGTCCTTTCCAATTCAGTAGGATATGGAATCTAAGGGAAGTTGAAATAAACTAAGAAAGAAACCCAAGAAAATACCGTCTTATGCCTGTATCTCACCTTCAAGCATTAATGTGTGTGACTACCATCAGGCGTGAACCTAATATGATTTTATCCTCCATACTTTTCACTCAACATGAAAGAATTTATCTTTATTCTGATCCCAATAAAAGCATATTTCTCAGCTATTTTTCCTGTCATAGTTTAATGGCATTCCTATCCAACCTAGTTATCAAAGACTGCAACTTTAATCCTCTCTCATTTTTTGGTCAAGTATTAGTCTATCTTTAAATATCTCTGATACTTCTCCCTGCTCTCCAGTGTCCTTGCCATCATGGCTTTTCACTACCTGGTTCTGGGATTCCCAGGTTACTCTTCAGTTATCCACAGGCCTTTTTCCTTATGTAGTATGCAGGCTTACATTGGACTTTGGTAACATTACTGAATGTTTATCATCTGCTTTTCTGCCTGAAAGTTCTGTCACATGTCATTTAAAGGTTCGGATGTGACTAAAACCATCTGTGCTCTTCCCTCCTCACTTCCTAGCTGATCTTTGATAGCAGGCATAGCTTTGCAGTTGTGTTCCTGTTGCTAGCACATAGCACACAGAATCTAGTTTCAGGTTATGTGTATATGCAGCCCTGGGTATTGAACCTGGGGTCTTCACACTGAGCTATATCTCCTTGCCCCTGTTTTGAGACAAAGGTCTCAGCTGCTGAATTGCCCAAGCTTTGCTCAAACTTGAGATTCTACTGTGTCTACCTCAGGAAAAAATGGTTTTTCAAAAATCATTAATCGTTAGTCATTGATTTTTGCCTTTTTAATATGTGTTTCTTATATCCTTACCTTGTTTTGAATATATTCACAAATTAAATGTTTTATTCCAGATGTGGTGGTGGCTCATGTCTATAATTCCAGCACTCTGGGAAGTGGAGACAGGAGTTCACAAGTGATAACTGGGCAAATTAGAGAAACTTTGTCTCAAAAATTGAATAAAAAGGATTAGGGGTATGACTCAGTGCAAAGGCCCTGGGCTTAATCCCCAATAACACTAAATAACAACTTAATTTTTTAAATGTGGCACAAAAATCAATAAAATGTTTTAAACTGTGAATATATCTGAGGAGCAGTGAGATCATAAAGGTAAACCTGCCACTCAAAAAGGTGAAAAACAGACATTAAAGAAATTAGTTGAATACTTCCCCTATGCCAGGAAGGATAGCAGATAAAGGCAAGGCATATCTCTTCAAAAGTTCTATGTAATATGTAGAAAAGTTCACGGTATAAAATGTAATTCATGAGGTGCATTTCAATGGCAGTTTCTTTTTGTTTTGAGACAGGGTCTCACTCTGTAGTTCAGGCTCACTGGTTAGCCCAAGCTGGCCTTGAACTTAAGGTGATCCTCCTGCCTCAGCCTCCCAAGTGCTGGGATTAGAGGTTTGTGTCGCCTTGCCTGGCTTCAAATGGCAGTTTCTGATTAACCCAGAATTGAGTTTGCAAAGAAGGACTAGCATACCTTTAAAAGTAAACTGTAGGTGAGTTCCAGGCAAGAATATAAAGGTCACAAGTACAGAATTCCAGGACAGGACTAGATGAAGATAAACAGGGCAATTTAGAGGCTTAGTGGGACCCTGTCTCAAAATTTTAAAAAAAGGTGGAGAGATATCCAGAAATGTAACTTTGTGCAGGCCCCAGGTTCAACTCTAAGGGCAAAACAAAAAGGGAAAACCCTTAAACACACTATCCATCTCTTACGTTTTTGTGTTCTTTTGTGGACTTTGTTTTTGGTTGGTTGTTTTCAGAATGGGGTCTTCTTGTGTAGTTCAGGCTGGCCTTGAACTCACGGGGTAGCCCAGAACGGCCTCAGACTCAGCAGTCTTCCTGCCTCAGCGTCCCTAGTGCTGGGATTACTGGCAGGTGCCACCATTCTTGGCAGTCATTCTAGTTCTTCCTTCAGGATACAAAATTAAATCCTACCCTTTTGCAGATACTTCCAAATGTTTTGTTTTGCAGTACTAGGAATTGAACCCGTTGAACCAGGGGCTTTGCAGTGAGCTATATCCTTACCTGTTTTTTGCTTTTAGACAGGATCTTGCTAAATTTCTCAGGCTGGACTTGAATTTTCAATCCTTGTGCCTCACTTGTGAGAGTGCTGGGATTACAGGCCATGTCCCCATGCCCAGCTCCTGTTTTCCTATTTTGTTTTTGAGACAGGTGCCTTAATACTTTACCCAGGCTAGTTTTGAACTCCTGGGCTCAAATTGTCTTCCATTTCACCCTCCCAAGGAGCTGGGATCCCTTAGTTTTCACACGATACATTTTCAGATACTTTCATCATCATTTTGTAGGCTCAAGACTTTCAAAGATGCTTTGAAGTTTGACCAACCAATTTATTTATTTATTTACTTTTGGTACCAGGGATTGAACTCCGGCCCTTGTGCTTGCAAGGCAGGTAGCAGAACCGCTGAGCTAAATCCCCGGCCCTGACAAGCCAGTTTAATCTTTCTGCTTCAGATCTAATATGTGGCCGTGGATTTAGCTCAGCGGTTCGGTGGCCTGCCTTGCAAGCGCAAGGACCCGAGTTCAATCCCTGGTACAAAAAAATAAATAAAAAAACAAAACTAATATATGAAACAGAATGGAGCCTACTCTCTGTTTTAGGTCAGAGATTTTTCAGGCTGTTTTTCAGAGCTCTAGGAGTTACTTGCAGGTACCTCAGGGGCACGTTTGACTATATTTCATACTGATATTCTGTATGAGTTTGCATCAGGAGATACGGTTTACTGTTTGAAACGAGCTTGAAAAACATAAAAAAACAAAACTAATATATGAAACAGAATGGAGCCTACTCTCTGTTTTAGGTCAGAGATTTTTCAGGCTGTTTTTCAGAGCTCTAGGAGTTACTTGCAGGTACCTCAGGGGCACGTTTGACTATATTTCATACTGATATTCTGTATGAGTTTGCATCAGGAGATACGGTTTACTGTTTGAAACGAGCTTGAAAAACATTACTTTTTAATAGCATCTTAAGATTAAGGAATATAGCTCAGTGGCCCTGTGCCTGCTTCGCAAGTGCAAGGCCCTGAGTTCGATCACCTGTGCCCCCCACACAAAATTTTTTTTAAATTTAAGATTAAATCCACTTTTTTTGAGAGCCATGTCTCACATGATTTTGGTTAAGGCACCTTTTAGTTTGTGTCTGTGTAGTTGGTTTTGTGTTTATTTTGTTCTCGAGTAAAGTATGTTATTCGTTTTTTATAGAATTTCATCTTCTAAAGTAAAATTTTATGTCCTATGAATTCCATCCCATTTATAAATTTCATCCCATTTGTCCTGCCATTCTAGTAAGCATTTTTGTTTTGTTAGGCTATCATGCAACATAGAGCTCTCCCTCTTATTCATTATCATATTATATCTTTTTAGGATCATAATCCTATAGCATATAGTTAGTATCTATAGCTTAGAATATTATTTAAACATTGTAGCTACTGTCAAAGTAACAACTTTTATTAAAAAAATCAAACAGGCCATCTTTGTGATCTAGGAAAGGAAATGTTGATAGCTCATGTGCACCTGGTTTGCAGGTCTCATATGGTCATTCCTTTGGTTTCTGTTTGAATTCCACATATTGCCTATGCATTTTTTTTTACTGTGTTGAAATCACATTCCAGGCCAAGAAAAAAAAAAAGGTGAGTTTGGCAGCTGTGGAGATGCATGGTAACATGCAGTACTCTCTAGACTCCCAACTGCAGCTCTTTAGGATGTGCCTCAGTTTCATAGCCAAGGCCACACTTTCCCCAAGAATCCCCCAGCTCTGTCCAAATCCTTCTCCCCTCTCCCAACACCTTCTTCTTGCACAGGTTTCAAATCTACATTATGGTTTGATTTTCCCAGCATAGTCCTCTCAAAAAATACTCTACTCACAGTACTCTTACTTTCCTAAGTCCACCTTCATGGAGAGCCCAAATCAACACAGTTGGCACTGGTTGTGATGTAAGAAGCCAGTAAGGTAGGCCTTGAAACTCAGTCACTCACTGTCTTTGTGACAACAAGGACTTCATCCCAGGTAGCATGTCAGTTATGAGGTTAGTCCCTGCCCCAGGTGATAAGTGGCAGAGTTAAAACTTTCCCCAACAGAAATTTGGAAGAAGGCTCCATCAGCAATATCTACCATGAGCACTATAATGTGTCAGGCCTTTGAAAAATATGAGGAAAAAAAAGGAATATAAGCATAATGCAATTGACTTTTTGATTAACTATTGATACCTGCTTCAGTTTTGCTACAATAAAATACCATAGACTGGGTGGTTTAAGCAATAGATTTATTTCTGTCAACTCGAAGCTGGAAGTCCAAGATCAAGGTGCTTGCAAGATTTCATTCTTAGGCCTCTTCCTGAGGCCTCTTCTTGAGTCCTGTAGTTAGCCATGATATTTTCATATGACCTTATTGTTATTGGGTGCTCGCTGAAGAGCAGGAGAGACAGGAACATCACATTGGGAGTTAGGCTTCGACATGAATTTGTGGGGGACACAGTACATCCATAGCAGCCCCTATAGAGGGATAATGAAAAGTTGAGGGCAGTTAACTATTGAAAACTGAGACAACACCAGTCTGCCTCTTAGGTAGCTGCCAAAGACAGTACCTCCTGCAGTGAGAGACCAATAAAACACGACCAAATTAGGATTTTTTTTTTTGAAATACGATCTTTTTCTGTAGTCTAGGATGGCATGACACTCATTTTTTTTGTTGTTGTTTTTATTGCCTTTTTTTTTTTTTTTTTTTTTTTTTTTTTTTTTTTTTTT